ATCCATGAACCATGGAGAATAGACCATAACTTTTGGATGCTTAAGTTTCCCGCAATTTCCGAGCTCATCGGCGCATGTTCGCTACCCTTTTCGTAGAAGAACAGCAGGTTCTACATCAAAGTTTGGAATTCATTACAAAAATTCGAATTACTTTTTTCACCCTTTGAACATATTTAACTTTTAAAAATTTATGCTGTGTGCTGACAAAGTCAGCTGTCAGGTTGGTTACAACGTATTTCAGCTGTTGAACTTGCCGTTTGGATGCCATTGTCGGATATTTTGTAATTTGTTGAATGATCACTTGATAGGTACGCTACTGTACGCAAGTCTGTTTCCATATCCTGAAGCAAACTTTAATTGTATGGCAACTAAGTTAAAATAGTAAATGTTTCATAGTCTTGCTAGGTGGATCTGCAATGGCTTGTTAGAAGCTACTTCATCGAAAAATCATCAATTTATTATGTATTAGTCTATGCTAACTCCGATGCGATACTTGAATGTATAGCCAAATGTGAATTACTGCACAGTCGGCCGTCTGCACTGATCATGATACAAATATCGTAACAAAACACTGAAGAGGACTTAATTCATTGAAACAGAGTAAATTTTTCTTAAGCCAAATATGATAGCACAATATTTGGAACATAGATTTTGAGCTCGCTTCACTACCAAGAGGCAAGATGAATTCGGATTTAATTGTTAGCCGTTTTTTTAATGCCGCCTGTGCCTTTCTTCATTGTCTGACGATCATCATTTATGACAAAGCATTTACAGTTTTATTTTTAAAATTAACATATTTGCCGGGGACTAAGTTGGTTTGCAACGTTTGAAACATCCTTGAATGAAAATAAATCGTTTATCGATTTGATGAGCTGAAACCTGTTTCAATCTGCATCGTAAATATTTGACAGAAAGGCACACTACTACTGTTGCTGGCAACATCAGAGCAGACTTATGCTAAACACAGTAGAGCTACATCATTTCCACTTGAGGTTAGAAAAGATTGCAGCGCCATCGGAACACGCAGTTTTCTGTTGCAGTGACCCTAAATGCGCAAAATACCGTAGCATTGCGCATTTTATCAAACTAGGACAACATTTGCGGCTACCCTCTTTGCCTTTTAAAATAATATTGACCGATT